CGTAAGGCACAGACAGAAAAGGCATGCAGGCCCATCTCCGTCAGTCTGCAGGGGTCGGTGCTCGTAAGGCACAGACAGAAATGGCATGCAGGCCCATCTCCGTCAGTCTGCAGGGGTCGGTGCTCGTAAGGCACAGACAGAAAAGGCATGCAGGTGAGTCAGCTTCCATGCGGCCGTTACCTGGGCCTACATCTAACGAGGGCTGGTGGATGAAGGCTTCAAGGGCAAAAGCACAGAGAAAAGAGGCAGGGCATCAATATCGGGGGGAGGACCCCAGAGCATCATGGGAAAACAGGGTGGATATAAGGTAGCGAATTCCATGTGAACAGCATCGCAAGGAAACTAGACGTATCAACAAAAAGCCACCTAATGTCCAGACAATAAAGGGTGCCAATGGAGAACATGTCCAGGGTTAACATGTTATACAATTAATCTCCAAACGGAAAAAGTACTTCACGTTATTTATATTAGCTTTACAATAAGTACTATTAAGCCTGATATTGTTATTTAAGAATTATTTAGAAACAGCGAGGTTGGTTAGAAATATCACATATATGAATAAGGACAATAATTCAATAATGCAGCTGTCGGCACAGTAGGTAATGCTGCCCAGAGAGGAGCTCATGTCACACACATTAACTGCTAATAAGTCATTTAAGAATGAGTGGAGCAGTTCAACCCAAACGCCTTCCCACTGAGATCTTTCTGCAGCAGTAAGTGCTAATGAGGTCTACCACATGGGAAATTAATTTAAATAATGCCTGGGGAAAAAGGTTCGAGAAATCTAATAATCCATGGAGCCGTAATGAAGGGATGCAATAATGACCAAGTTCATAGGTGTATTTCTGAATCAAATTCATTCACTGAGTGTCTTTTGAAAACCATACAAACTTAGTAGTGGTCTAAAATTCACCATACTCCACTAAGTCACTTCATCACTGTTGCACAGGTCATGAACATGCACAAGCTCCAACACCAAGCTGATGTGTGGTAAAGGACCATATTGCAGTCGCCAGGCTTCATAAAATATACATGGCATGTCCTCGGGGACGTGGGGCATGTTGGTGGGTCTGCAGGACAGAGCTGACTGGCCTCGTGAAATTCAGCAAAGGAAAGTCTTAGATTGCCACCGCAATATTGATCACGCGATTGCTATTTTCACAGATCAATATTCTTTCCTGCTTTGGAGTCATGAGCTTATGGTGCCGGTAAGAGGCAGGAACCAGAGGTTCTCTGAAGCTCCCCATGTTACAGTCAAGTCAACGAAGTGAAATTGCGAATGGGGTGTGTTTCCGCTGATGGATGCTAAGTGAATTATACTTGCCATTTATCACCCAGCGAGATTAAGATCCATGCCTCGTACTTCAACATGCAGAGGGCTTCAGATGAGTCAGCAGCTCTAGAAGAACTAATGATCACGTCCTACATATCTACTAATTCCCAAATTTTGTTTCCATTGCAATTTTGTGGATGGCTTCTTCTTTGACTCGCCACAAAAACCACCTCCAGTGATTGTAAAAACCTTTTTGCATTATGTGAGGGTTTTTTCAAATTTTGAGTGCTTCCATTAACTGTTTTTCAGTACAAATGTTTAAAACGAGCAAAATCTAGGTCAATGGAAACAGAGCTAGTGAGTTGTGGGAATAAAGGACCCGACTGAGGCTGTGGAACGACCTTGCTACACTGACACACAGCAACATCTGTGGTAAAAACAGACCCAAATGGAGCACAGGGATACCCAAGGCTGGAATTCACACTGCACACCATGGAACAGCCTTGACGATATCGCAGCTGTGAAGCTGTGCAGTGCAGACTTGTACCTTCATCCATGACAGTGACCGCCTCATCCGTGATGGCAGGCCCGGCGCCCTGCTTGGTTCTGGCACTGATGTAAAACTTGTAGCGTGTACTGTATTTCAGGTTGGGCAGTGTGAAGTTGGTCTCGTTGGCTGGGAGGGAGACCTCCACCAGTTGGCCCAGCTCGCTGGTGTTGTTGACTGAGGGGTGAAGAGAGAGACTCACAAATAGTCCAGCCTCTTCTGACACTTGTGAATTGACTCATCTAAATACCGATGGTACTTGTGTTATGTGCAGTATTACCCATAATACCCCTGGGCACCCTGTGTAGTTCTGTGTGCATAGCGCTTGGTGGTGATGCCTAAGAGCACACTCATAGACGCTGATATTAATATGCAACCGTTGGCATGGAAACGCCGCAAGCTCTTCAGTTCCCAAAGACTCACTTGTCTGGTACTTGAGAGTGTAGTCAAGCAGGCGTCCGTTCCGCCGCAAAGGGGGACCCCACTCCAGAGTCAGGGAGTCCAGGTTGATGTTTGTGAACCTCAGGAACGCCAGAGGCCCAGGGACTGCTCACACATAGCATTTAACATTATTTTATATATTACATATTACATTGTTTATCAACCAAGAATAAACTGAAACATTCCATTAAAAGAGGTCACTTCAAGGCACCAGACTTTCCCAAGTTGCTCTTCATCTTCTCTTAATTATATCTTAATCATTCATTTGCATTACGTTTTATTTATGTTTTTATCCCAACCAACCAGTTGGGTAAAAAGAATCACAGTCACAGCGTACACAACTTGCTGGTTGAAACAAAATCTTGGTCTGGACTTTTACTGTCTGGACCTGAACTACCCACCTCTGCCCAAGAGACATACAACTGAGAAAGCAGGGTCAGTCAGAATCCTTAGAGCGATTGGGGGTTAAGGGTCATGTTCCGGGGCTCAATGGTGAAATCACAACGCCAGATCTGAGGTTTTAACTGATGACCTTCTGAGTGTCCTAACCCACTGAGTAACATACTGTGCCCATAATACAGAACTGACATGGACTTGAACCCGGATTCAGCACGCCATCAGTGATCGGTGACTGACTGAGCAATCTCACTCATTAGCTTATTAACCCTGGACCTTTGGATGGAGTGCCTACCTCCTTCGGGGGTCTCGAACTGCTGGCTGGGGCCGGCAGGACCCTCGCCCTTGCCGTTGAGCACCCTGACGTTGAAAGTGTAGAGGCTGAATGGGTGCAGGCCGGGCAGCTTGCCATGCGTCCTGTTGCCATTGAAGGTGAGGATGCGCTGCTCCTCGTGCTGCGGGTTGTGCTCCAGAAGGCTCCTCTCCTTCCAGTAGTAGACCTGCCCCGAAGGAGCCATCACCTCCCGTGAGACACAGCTCAACTCGCCCCATGTTGGCGCAAGCGGAGCCGAGCGCAGACCCTCCCGCGTCAAGAACACGCCGTACCTTATAGCCCTTGAGTCGACCTCGGACCATCTGCGATGATACGGCTTCCCAGTGGACTTCGGCCAGCGTGCTGTTTTGCACCACGGCCTGGATCCGGCCAGGAGCCGCCAAGGGCACTGGGGGAGAAGGCAGACGTGAGTGGAAGTGTCGACGATTAGCGCCATTTACTGGTGTGGTTTGGGAACACAATAAGATGGGAGCTCTTACCAGTTTAATGGACAGAAACATGCCCCCCCCCACCCCCACAGCCCC